CCATTTGGCGAACAGAGATCAGGCATTAAGGACGGCCTTGGGCCAGTCACTCTTCATGAGCCTCAGTTTCCCCCTCTGTAAACTGGGATCGGGTAGTCATCTTATTGGGTCCCTGCTCCCTCCCCTGCTCCTCTAACTGGGGGGCTTCTCTCCAGGACCCTCCAAGGCAGGCACCCCAGTGGCTGGGCCCCTTCCAGGTTGGCGAGGGGGGCCTGACCCACCCCTGGGCAGAGACCCCCTTGCCGGGGCTGGGACAGATGCAGGTCTTCTGCCCACAGCCCCCCTCAAGGCCCTCAAGCCCCCCCCCCCCCCAAGGCCCCCAGACCCTCTGACCTATGACTACGCTCCTGGGGGAACAGGAGGAGCTTTGGAACGCTGACCCAGCGTGGATCCCAGGACCCTTCTGGGAGGTGTAAACTGACCCTCACCACCTTGGGCTTCCTCAGGTCGAAGCAGGAACGCCTGTGTGTGTGTGTGTGTGTGTGTGTGTGTGTGTGTGCATGTGTGTGTGTGTGCGCGCGTGTGTGTGGGGGGGGGCATCCACATGGTTCCCGCATGGCTGGGGCATGCAGCCTGGGGAGCCTTCAGGAGAGCCTGCCCATCTGCACCCCAGGACAAGGCAGCTTTGTGGAGGGTCGATGGCAGAGCCGGGGCCTGAGTCGGGCGAGCCTGAGGCTGCACAGGGGCTTCCAGGGCTGGGAATCCCGTGTGTGGGCTGAGGGGGGGAGTGTAGGTGAAGCCCCCAGGACGCTGTGCCCAGGCAGGAACACGGTGGCCCCTTAGACCCCAGCCTGGCAGTCGGGGTGGCCTGGGGGGAGCCTGGCGGGGGGGTTTGGCCGGACCCCCCCTCCCCAGTGAATCTGGGCTGTGGCTGCTCCGACTTTTGGGGAGCAGTCTCTGATGTGTACCCCGACAGAGAGCCTAGCGGGGAGGTGACCGTGCAGGGGAGGGACAGAGTCCCGGACTGTGTCTTCTTCCTGCCCTACCTGGGCAGGGTGGGGGTGGGGACCAGTCATTTCCCTGGGATGGTGGTCCAGGGGCTTTTAGGGGGATCCAAGGCCCCCTAGAGTCTTAAGAATCCCCTGATCCTTTTCCCTGACTGGCCTCCTTCTGGGCTCCCCCCACCCCAGATGCTGCACTCCCAGCACCCCCCCCCCCCCCATCAAAACAAAACAAAACAAACCCAGGTGTGACTGGCAGGTTTCCAAGCAGGAGGAGGCTGGTCCTCTGCCCTGGAGCTGCCTGGTCCCCCTCAGGGCCAGCCTGCCTGTGTGCCCCGTATCTTCCGGCTCCTGGCCGGCCCCGGGCCCCGTTCTTCTGCCCCGTTGGTGCCCCAGGGCCCCGGGGACTCACCTGGCTGCGTCCTGCCCCAGCTGCAGTCGCCTCTGCGCTGCCTCTCCCTAGTTCACACATATTCATGTGAAAGGTTTGCTGCTCCCGGGCTTGGAGGGCTCCGCTGGGAGCAGCGGCCTCTGGGAGCTTCTCAGTCCCTCCCTCGGGAGCGGGAGCGAGGCCCGCCCCCTCCGACGGCCCAGGTCAGGGCTGGAACCATCTGGTCTCAGACACGGCTTCCTCCCCTCAGGGGGCAGAAGGGGAAACTGAGGCCTGCGGGGGCGGGGCGGTGGAGCCATGCCAGTGTCAGAGCTGGGAGTGGGTGCGCCATGGCGGGGGGGGGGGGGGGGGCGGCACTGTGGGTGGCCAGGAGGCAGCCTGAGCAAAGCAGCACTGACCCCTGGCCTGTCTCTGACCCCCTTCACCTCTCTAGGCCCCTGCTCTGGTCAGCTGTCGCCCCAGCGCTCAGGATTTGATTTTAACCCGTGCGCCTCCAGCAGACAGGGGAGCATCAGAGAGAAGGTGTGGACGCATATTTGCAGCTGGCAGCGCTGGGCACAGTATCTGCACACTGTCCAGCTTGAGGACATGTGTCCCCCACTGCTCCCTCCCCGCACTGTCCCTCCCCAGCACTGTCAGTACCTGCTGCCATCCCTGCCCTGTCCTCCTCTACAGCCTCTCCCCTGTACTGTCCCCGCAACTCACCACAGTACCCACACTGTCTCCACATTCCCCACAGACTCCCCACACTCTCCCCACAGTCCCCCCACACTCTCCCCACAGTCCCCCCACACTCTCCCCACAGTCCCCCCACACTCTCCCCACAGACTCCCCACACTCTCCCCACAGACCCCCCCACTCTCCCCACAGACTCCCCCATATTCTCCCCACAGACCCCACACACTCTCCCCACAGACCCCCCCACTCTCCCCACAGTCCCCCACACTCTCCCCACCGACCCCCCACACTCTCCCCACAGATCCCCCACACTCTCCACACAGACTCCTCCACACTCTCCCCACAGACTCCCACACTCTCCCACAGACTCCCCACACTCTCCCCACAGTCCCCCCACACTCTCCCCACAGACTCCCACACTCTCTCACAGACTCCCCCACACTCTCCCCACAGACTCCCTCACACTCTCCCCACAGACCCCCCCACACTCTCCTCACAGTCCCCCCATACTCTCCCACAGACCCCCCACACTCTCCCCACAGTCCCCCACACTCTCCCCACAGACTCCCCCACACTCTCCACACAGACTCCTCCACACTCTCCCCACAGACTCCCACACTCTCCCACAGACCCCCCACACTCTCCCCACAGATCCCCCAGACTCTCCTCACAGTCCCCCCACACTCTCCCCACAGACCCCCCACACTCTCCCCACAGTCCCCCCACACTCTCCCCACAGTCCCCCACACTCTCCCCACAGTCCCCCCACACTCTCCCCACAGTCCCCCACACTCTCCCCACAGTCCCCCCACACTCTCCCCACAGTCCCCCCACACTCTCCCCACAGTCCCCCACACTCTCCCCACAGTCCCCCACACTCTCCCCACAGTCCCCCACACTCTTCCCACAGACCCCCCACACTCTCCCCACAGATCCCCCACACTCTCCTCACAGTCCCCCCACACTCTCCCCACAGACCCCCCACACTCTCCCCACAGTCCCCCACACTCTCCCCACAGTCCCCCACACTCTCCACACAGACTCCCCACACTCCCCCCACACTCTCCCCACAGTCCCCCCACACTCTCCCCACAGTCCCCCCACACTCTCCCCACAGACTCCCCACACTCTCCCCACAGACTCCCCCACACTCTCCCCAGAATCTCCACACTAGCCCCACATTCTCCCTACCATCCTCACCATCCCTTTTCCCTCAGCCTGAGCACAGAGCACAGGGCCCTCTGGTGGAGGGTGACAAGAATTTGTAACTGGTTGTAATGAGAGGAACTCTCTGCTCTGGCTCTATCTAGTCCAGAGCACAGTTTAAGTAGTGAAGGTGGCCTCAGCGCGGTGGTCAGCTTAGCCAGAGACTTTATTGGTCCCCTGTGGAGACTTGACTAGCGGCTGGTCTGCGTGGAACCACAGCCCTCATCTTCACAGAAGGAGGAATCTGCTTGGCTTCAACTGCTCTCAGAGTGAAAGCCAACTCCAGTGCAGAGTAGAGGAATAGAGGAGCGAGCAGGGAGAGGGAAGAGAGAAGGAGGCCTGCAAGGGGACTCTCAGGGTACTGTTAATCCTCAGGGCAGGCACTCCTTCATCAATGGTAAGTGCTGTTCTCAGAACATGAGGGGAGCAGACAGGGCGAGATTAGGAATATGGCCTAGGGGAAGGGGAGCATCGGCATGGAACATCATGAGGGTGGATGACGTGGGCCCTGCCTGATGGAGCACCAAAAGAGAATCACCTCAGCATCCTGTCCCCTGTTTCAATGGCCAACGTTCATTGACTGTCATAAAGAAATGCTCTCCCAGGGGGCTGGAGTGATAGCACAGCAGGTAGGGCATTTGCTTTGAGTGTGGCTGACCCTCGTTCGATTCTCAGCATCCCATATGGTCCCCCGAGCACCGCCAGGAGTAATTACTGAGTGCAGAGCCAGGAGTAACCCCTGAACATCACTGGGTGTGACCAAAAAAGAAACAACAACAACAACAACAACAAAAAACAATACATGCCTTGCTGCCTCAATGCTCTTCCTGAAACTTCTTTTGATGACCTCACTGTATTGAGCCCTTCAGGGGTTTGTACGGTAGGATGATAATAAAAGGAGATCTCAGGATGCTCTACCTTTTGTCACAGGGTCTGAGCGAATCCGGGCCCTCCATGAAAAATAATTTCTCTCGCGTTCCTTGTCTCAGTGCCTCCAACTGAACGAATATTTATGCAACACACACCCAGGTTTGCTCCAGCTCGGGCTGGAGTGATAGCACAGCGGTAGGGCGTTTGCCTTGCACGCAGCCAACATAGCCAACCCGAGTTCGATTCCTCTGCCCCTCTGGGAGAGCCCGGCAAGCTACCGAGAGTATCTCGCCCGCGCGGCAGAGCCTGGCAAGTTCCCCGTGACGTATTCGATATGCCAGACACAGTAACAATAAAGTCTCCAATGGAGACGTTACTGGGCCCGCTCGAGCAAATCGATGATCAATGGGAGGGCCTTTACTTTACTTACTTACTTTACACCCAGGTTAGAAGTGCCTCAAGGCATGGGAAAACCCTTAAGGAAAAAGGACACTAACTCTAATCAATGAAAAGAAGGCTAATGAGCCAAAATGGGAGACAGGGTCTGGAGGGGTGGTACAGCCGGCAGGGTGCTTGCCTTGATGTGGCCAATCTGGGTTTGAGCCTCACCATCCCAGATGGTCTTCTAGCACCACCAGGGACGATTCCTGAGTGCAGAGCCGGGAGTCACCTCTGAGCATTGCAAGGTGTAGCCTCCCCCCAACCAAACAACCAAAAATAAAAAAAAGAACCAAATGACAAAATAATCCAAAATGGGACACAATGGGTATTTCCTCTCCCCTCCCCCAAACCCCCATGACTGGGGTCATGGCTGTGAAGGATTGGGGGAGGAGGACAAATATCCTGCTCCGAGGCATGTCCTTATCCTTAGATGTGAGATCATGAATCAGCCACAGCACTGTATATAGGCTCACTGGGTACATCCAGGGGAGTGCTGCTGGGGTAGGGAAAGCTGGCAGGGGGGTTGGTGATGTGGGTCTGGTGGTTGGAAACATTGGCAGGGCCGGTGTTCACATTGACTGGCATGGTGGCGGCTCTGGCTGGGTAGGCACTGGCTGTGCCGGGCTCCGGTCTGGAGATCTGAAAGGCAATGACATGAGGCATCAGCTTCCTCCGTGGGGAACTTCCAGGAGGGTCGTAAGTTCTCCCTCTGCTACTCCCTTGGCCCTTTGGTTCACCCTCCCTCCACTAAGGATGCGCCTGGCCAGGGAACAAGACTAGAAGAGTAATGTAAGCAGAAACCTAGAAAGATTTGGCACATCACACTTTGTCTCAGTGCTCTTTCACCTCAGAGTTTATACCGAAAAAATCTGCACTGGTCTCGAGGATACAGAGGCACAGGGAGCCAGTTGCTCCTGTTGACACTTTGTCAAGAGCCACACATTCAGGTGAGGCCATTGGAGGTCATCCAATCACTGGACAATGCATCGGCCAACCGCAGACTCACGGTGAGCTCAGCTGAGGGGACAGGAGATGATCAAGAGCATAACTCCTGACCGGTCCAGAGGAGAATCAGACACTATACAAGGGGTCATCATTGAGCCCTTAGGTCTGGGGATTGCTTAACATAATCAGCATAGAAATGGATTGCTAGGAATTGGGCAACAAAAGTCTAACTCTAACCCTGACCCTAACCCTAACCCTGAACCCTAAAACTAACAATGACCATGATCTTGATCCTGACCTTAACCCTAACCCTGACCCTAACCCTGACTCTAACCCTAGCCCTAATCCAAACTCTAACCCTCACCCTAACCCCAAACTCTAACCATGACCCTAACCCTAAGCTGAACTCTACCCTGACCCTAACCCCTAACCCTAAACCTGACCCTAACTCTAACCCTGACTCTAACCCTAATCCTGACCCTGACCCTGACACTAACTCTAACCCTGACCCTAACTCTAACCCTATTCCTAACTTTGACCTTCACCCTAACTCTAACCCTGACTCTAACTCTAACCCTGACCCTAATTCTAACCTTGACCCTAGCCTAACTTGGACCCTAACCCTAATTCTAACTCTGACCTTAACCTATAACACTAACCCCAACCCTAGCCTAACTTGAACCCTAACCATAACTCTTACCCTGACACTAACCCTAACCTTGACCCTAACCCCTAACCCTCACCCTAATCCTAACCCTAACCTTGACCCTAGCCTAACTTGGACCCTAACCCTAATTCTAACCTTGAACTTAACCCATAACCCTAGTCCTGACCTTAGCCTAACTTGAACCCTAACCCTAACTCTAACCATGACCATAAACCTGACCCTAACCCCTAACCCTCACCCTAACCCTAAACTCGTTTCTGTGATTTGAAAGTCCTGCATTCTCTGCTATGTTTGTAATGACAGTCTGAGTTAGACTACCCTGAGCCCTCTCTCCTCCCAATCAATTAATTGCCATCTGCTGTCCCCGGGACTGGAGCGATAGCACAGCGGTAGGGTGTTCGCCTTACAAGTGGCCAACATGGCTGAACCGAGTTCGATTCCTCCGCCCCTCTCCGAGAGCCCGGCAAGCTACTGAGAGTATTCGATATGCCAGACACAGTAACAACAAAGTCTCCAATGGAGATGTTATTGGGCCCGCTCGAGCAAATCGACGATCAACGGGAGGGCCTTTACCTTTACCTTTACCTTTACCTTTACCTTTACCTTTACCTGCTGTCCCCAGGAACAGGCTCTGACTCCTAGAGCAGAGAACACTCACCCACACTTGGTTCCAGCAGACATCCTTGAACCCCCAAAATGAAACTGCGCATGTGAGGATGAACTCCAGGAGGGAGAAGGGGAAGATAGTAGGAGACACCGTGAAGGTGCAAGTCTAGGGAGAGAGAGGAATAGGAAACTTGTCATTCGAGGTGGCAGTTCTGTGACAGTCCCGGACTACAATGTCCATCCTAGGGAAGGGCCTCTCTCCCTCTCTGCACAGGCCACCTCAGAGTAAGTGCTATGGGTGATCCCCCATCCCCGCTGAATGCACCCTGAGAGTGTTCCCCTGACCCTAACCCTAACCCCCAGCCTCTCTTTCTTTGCTTGGACACTTTTCCTGGCCCTCGGATCCCATTTTGCTGTTTGCACAATAGGTCTGAAATATTGGGAAGTCAGTGTTCCGTGCGGGGGGGTCCCCTATCACTGACTGGATTGATAAGGGACTGGTGTCAGGTGCCCTCAGGGGCAATGACTTCATAACACATTGGGCTCTTCCAGACCTTATTTCTCCACCATCCCTGATTTTTTCCACCACCCAAATCAATGAATGTTGCCAACTCAGTTCTGGGAAGAACCAACCAGAGATACTTGTCAAATAGCGATATTGGTGTGTGTGTGTGTGTGTGTGTGTGTGTGTGGTAGTTCAGATTCATCACTGGGGGTGAAAAGTGGGTCCTCAAGCAAGGTCAGGTCCTTATTGTCTTCAGAAGGTGAGAATGGGGCCTTCAGAGCTTCTGGCCTTGACCCTCATCACAGCAGAATTGATGGCTCCCACGTGTGTGCACTGGATCTTGGTTCCACCCAATGGGTGAGTGGGCATGTCCACAGAATTTGTGTTTTTGGAGAGAATGTGACTTCCCACCTCAATCCCTGGCCTCCTCAGGAATAGGATCCAGCTCACTCTTGGCCTCTCGGGGATCAGGATCCAAGTTGTTGGAATCCAGTGATCTTGGGCTAGACTCCCCTGTATTAGATTCTCTTTAATTGCCGGAAGTCCCACCCTCCCAAGACCAAGTTTGGCACTTGCGAACATTGTGGTTTTGACTCCTTGGGACTCTGAGTGGCTCTCGTGTGAGACTACATGGCCCAGGACTTACCATGGCTAGGTTTGTGACACGCTGTCACCCCCTTAGATGTCCAGTGACAGCAGTGACAAGACTGTAGTTGAATTTTATTTTATTTTTATTTATTTACTTTTGGGGGCGACACCTGGTGATGCTCAGGGATTACATCTGGGGGACTGCCCCCAAGCTCTGTGACCAGGTGAGCTGCTCAGCAAACACCCTTGCTTTTCATGCTTTTCAGACCTTCCGGACTATGTGAATGTGAGCGATGTTGCACCCAGACCCCACTGCAGCCTGCTGGCTGACTCCTAACTAGAACGCTTTGTTGGGGTGCTGCCTTTGGACAGGGGAGACCCGTGAGTGTGTGTGTGTGAGTGTGTGTGTTTGTGTGTAAGCCTTAGAGACTTAAAGTTTCTCAGAAATAGTTTGTAATCTGTGCTTAAGGGGAGTTATTGAGCATGGATGCTGGGCTCTCTTGCCCCAGGGTGAGGTCCATGGTCTTCACTGTCCCCCAGAGTCCCAGCAGGTTTTAGCTGCAGGGTGACTTATTTGGGAACCCTCTTATGGGGCACTTCTGCACCATCCTTGCTTCTCTGGCTTCTTCCAGCCCCTACTGGAGTGTCCTGGCTAATCTCAGAGATTTGTGTCATACTGCTGTCACTTTCTTTGTGAGATAAGACAAGGAGCTGGTGTCAGTACTTCCTGTTTATGCTTCCTGTTAATTGTCTGTGTGATGTTGAGATGTATTTTGGGGTGGGGGAGTAGTTGAGCCACACCTGATGGTACTCAGGAGTTATTCCTGCCTCTGTGCTCAGGAGAAAGCACTCGTGGAGGAGCTTGGGAGACCATATGCTGTTCTAGTCTAGGGTGATTGCCTACAAGGCCAGTGTGGTAACTCAGGCCTACGGAAGGGCTAATGGGCTCAACATTCTTCACTCTCTGTCTTCATCTGCAAAACAGTGTCCATCCCGACAGCTTTGGTGAGTCTTATGTGCCTTTTGGATCCAGTGGTGGTCATTCTAGTGGGGAGATCTAGCTTTTCCTTTCTGTTTGGGAACAAGCCTTAAGCAAGCAAGATATTTTGGAAGCAGGGCCCCAAAGTCCCAACGCTCATGCTTACACAAATAAATCTTCTATTGATATTGATCAAGTCTGTGATGGTAATGCAGATCCCCAGCAATGAGCAGATGGCGCTGATTATGTTGGCGCCAACGCTGACATTTACCTGGAGGAGGGAGAGGAAGAGGAAACCATAAGCAGGTTGATGCCAGTCTGGGGGGGCAGGAGAAAGAGGGGGCAGGCAGGGCAGAGACAGTTAGGAAGAGGGGAGAGGCACAGGACAGTCCATGGGTAGGGCAGAGACTGAATTGGGAAAAACACAAACAAAAACAAACCCAAGAAGTAGCTGAGAGGCAGGAAAGGAGATTCCAAAGGTGGGTTGGGAGGAGACAAGATCATTGGTCAACTCTGTAGAAACAGATTCTGGGGGTGGGGTAGGGGTGGCAGAGGGATACTGGAGACATTGGTGGTGGGAAATGTACACTGGTGGAGGGATGGGATGGGTGTTCGACCATCGTATGACCAAACTCAATCATGAAAGCTTTGTAACTGAATCTCTCGGTGATTCAAAAAGAAAAAGAAAAAAATAAAAAGAAATAGATTCTGGAGGGACATGAGTTGAGAGAGATTCTAGGGTTGTTGTAAGAGCAGATGATGATGGAAAAGTTCTAATATCCAGAGGCTGGTATCTGGGTTGAATGCATTGATTGACAGGGAAGGCTTTCAGACCCATGTTCAGTTATGTTTATTTTATTTTTATTTATTTACCTTTGGGGGTGACACCTGGTGATGCTCAGGGATTACACCTGGCTCTTTGTTCAGGAATCACTTTTGGCAGGTGTGTGGAGTGCTGGTGATTGAATCTAGATCAGTTGCAATGCAAGGCAAGCTCTCTAGTCACTGTCCCATCTCTCCAGCCCCTGTAAAGTTCAATTTTAAAGACTCAACTGCTCAGTGTTGAGAAGCTCAAGCTTTACCTCCAGCTCAGGCTGCTTCCTTTGAGAGGCCTGTGTCAGAGTGGAGATGAAGGCAGAGACTCAGTGGGGGGTGGTAACTCAGAAGTAAAGCAGACCCGGAGCCCCCAGGAATCGGCAGGCATCTCGGGGGGAAGGTAGAGGATTGGAAGAGGCTATTATTGGGCTGGTACAGATGCTGAGAGCTCAGTGAAATTGAAGTTCCCTGGGGATCCCAATCCTGTTGAGGGGATAGAGTAAGGCTAACTTGGGAGTAGTAGAATTTGTCTTGCACCTGAGGGTGGTCATGAGAAAGCCCCTGTGAGACATTCCAGGCCCTTGTCAACCCGGTATGTTCTCGCTAAGAAAGCAGAAGAGAGAGGAAGGGAGGGAAGGGAGAACTGGAAGCCAGAATGAAGAGTAAGGTCACCATAGCATCCTAAATTTACCTCCACTTTTAGAAAATTAAACTAGGACCAGATACTTTGTTGACTATTGAAAGAGAACATTCTAGAAGGGCCAGGGCACTCAGGGTCCTGTGTCTTATGCTTGGAACTAGAATGATTCAAGGCAGACATGCCCTTCACTCTTCTCTGTACAGTCAGAGGGGAGGGCAGAGAACATCTTAAAGAAGCAGCAGAAATGTTCATGCATTTCCATTTGACGTGGCTTTTTTTTTTTGCTTCACTCAGTTTTCCTGTGGAACATTGCATTGTGACTAATTGTGAGTTTCCTAAACTGCTGTGTTTTTTTCCCCCTTTCTTACTTTTTAAGCTGGGTATTGAAACCAGTGCCTCACATATGAAGGACAGCAGAACAAGTGCTTCCATGCTGTTCCCATCCTTTTTATGTGCTAAAGATGCAGAAGGCGAAAACTCAGCCCCAGAGTCGGAGAACTCCAGTGTTGACTTCTGCCTCTGCTGTATTTCCACTGTGTGATCTTGGACCAAGACCCAGAGACTATAGAACCCAGCTCCTGGAAGCGCACGGCCGCATTTGCGGCCGCACAACATCTTATTATCTCATTCTTCCTTTGGACTAACTGGCAGTCTACTGAATGTAACCTGCCCACATGGCAGAGTCTGGCAAACTCCCCGTGGCGTACCCAATATGCCAAATACCAGTAACAATGATGGGTCTCATTCTCCTAACCCTGAAAGAGCCTTGAATATGGCACATTTTAAAAAAATCTCAGGGCTAGGACGAAGGAGATGTTACTGGGGTCTGCTCGAGGCAATCAACGAACAATAGGATGGTTGTGATCGTGATCTTGGACTAGTTAGCTGGGCTCTCTCTATCTTAGTTTCCTCCTCTGCCAAAAGGAGCTGAATAGAACTTTGTTGAGTTTTGGGGGGTGGATAAAATAATAGAGTTGTGGGGAATCTACAACCTCTTGGCTACTGTGAAGCCTCTTTGGTAGTTCAGAAATGGTCACCGAGGACGCTGCAACTCACCACGCAAGGGTTGGGGTCCTTTGCAATCCAAACTGAGAGGGATCCAGAGACAACAAACTACACAGGCAAAAAGAGAAAGAGACATCTTGCAGTGTGTTGAAAATGACAACCGCCCACTCAAAAAATGCAACTCTTCCTTTCACTTCCACACACCTTGTTTAACACCTGCCCACCTGTTCACCTCCTCTCCCAAGTTTCACTTTATCAATGGGGGAAGCTCCACACATACCAAATGGCACGACCTTCAAACTCCTGTTTGTCTCAGCTAATGCCTTTACCTTACAGAGGGGAAGTCTGTGTCTCACTACTGTCAGGGTCTCCCCTGGAGCCCACTGCCCAAGCTCGTGCAATACTCATCTGGCTTCATGCTGCCCTTTCCAGACCATCCAGACCATGCCCTTTCCAAACTAGGAGAGTGAAGATCTCGGCTATTGCTGGTACCCTGGCTAAGTCACTGCCTCAGTCTGAGGGTCCTAAGTTATCCTGGTGATGACTGTATGAACTCAAGAGGTGGCAAGAACTTCATTCAGTTATGAGAGCCCTGAGTGGAGGGAACTCTGTGGACTCAAGATGCAGTTCTAGCATTTCTTAGGTATCAGGTTGTGGTTGTATTTCATGAGCAACAACATCTTCTCTTAGCTTCTGTCTTCTTATCTGGCAAACGGGCATGAGATAACTTTGCCTGGGGTGCTCAACCTACAAGTGGACCGGGAGGTGATAATGGAAAACAGGGGTGGAGTTACAAATGCAGAGGAGGAAACCCCGCAAGCATGTCTAAAGCTGCCTCTGTCATGGGGGAGGGGGGCTACAATATACATAGCAGGTAGGGGGCTTGTGGGAAGCCAGTGTGGGGTTTTCAAGGGCAGACAAGGCACCATATGGGTTCTTGCCCTCCCTAAAGTTGTCATGCTTTTCATCTGCACTTGTTTGTTCATTGCAGCACTCTTTACAATAGCCAGAAACTGGAAGAAACCTGAATGCCCAAGAACAGATGACTGGTTAAAGAAACTTTGGTACATCTACACAATGGAGTACTATGTAGCTGTTAGAAAAGATGAAGTCATGAAATTTACATACAAGTGGTACAATATGGAAAGTATCATGCTAAGTGAAATGAGTCAGAAAGAGAGGGATAGACATAGAAAGATTGCATTCATCTGGGGGATATAAAGTAACAAAGTATGAGATTAATACCCAAGAATAGCTGAGATCAGCACCAGGACGATTACTCCATAACTTAGAGGCCAGCGGGTATCCTAGAGGAAAGGGCAGTTCAGATAGAGAAGGGAGCACTAAATAAAGGATGTTTGGAGGATCCTCCCAGGAGGGGAGATGCATGTCGAAAGTAGACTATGGACTGAACATGTTTGCCACTCAATGCCTCTTTTGCAGACCACAACACCCAAAAGGAGAGAGAGAACACAGGGGATTGTCCTGCCACAGAGACAGGGGGGATGGGGGGATGGGGGTGGGAGGGATATTATCCATGGTGGTGGAAAATGGGCACTGGTGGAGGGATGGGTATCTGATCATTGTATAATTGAAACCAACGCACAAAAATTTGTAAATCTACAACTTTAAAAAAAATAAAATAAAATAAAGGGAAAAAAAATAAAAATAAAGAAACTTTGGCACATTTACACAATGGAGTACTATGTAGCTGTTAAAAATGAAGTCATGAAATTTACATACAAGTGGTTCTACATGGAAAGTATCATGTTAAGCGAAATGAGTCAGAAAGAAAGGGATAGACATAGAAAGATTGCATTCATCTGGGGAACATAAAGTAAAAAAAAATAGGAGACTAACACCCAAGAATGGCCAAGATTAGTACCAGGAATTTTGCTCCATGGCTTGGAGGCCAGCCACACATGCTAGGGGAAAAGTGAACTCAGATAGAGAAGGGAGCACCAAATAAAGGGTGTTGGGAGGATCCTCCCAGGATGGGATATGCAAGTTGAAAGTGGACTATGGACTGAACATGATTGCCACTCAATGACTCTTTTGCAGACCACAACACCCAAAAGGAGAGAGAGAACAAAAGGGAGTGCCCTGCCACAGAGACAGGGTGGGATGGGGGGATGAGGCGGGTGGGAGGGATACTGGGATTAGTGGTGGTGGAGAATGGGCACTGGTGGAGGGATGGGTACTCGATCATTGTACAACTGAAACCCAAGCACAAAAATTTGTAAGTCTACAACTGTACCTCATGGTGTTTCACTAATAAAAAAAAAATAAATAAAATAGGGCTTCTAAAATGGGTGATGTTCTGTTGTTTTTGTTTCAACAGGGCGCACATGAGTGTTCATTATTTTATTTTTTATCCTCGTGAAATAGGCTGTAAAATTCATGATCTTCAGTTGTACACAGGTATCAAACCCACTTATGAGTGTGCAGTCCCCACTCTCATCCCTTTCTTTCACTGTTTCCTCCCGCCACCTTTTCCCCATTTGTCATGCTCCACTCGCTGGTGGAACACCATTTGACTTCCTGTTTCTATGAGTTTGAGAACTCTAGTGCCTCGACTCATCATTAGCGCCTCCACCCTTGTGTTGGTTTGATTGTTACTAAGCTCTCCAGCCTGGTGGTAAAAGTTTAACATCTCCCTGTCCTGTGTTCCCAAGGGTCAGGCGAAGGTGCTGATCTGGAATATTTGTTGCTTTCCATTTCCTGTGGCTGGTTCCCCATTACCAAAGGGTTCGACAACCAGTTTACCTAATTCCTGAACATTTGACACTTGGTTCTCGTTCTAAGGCAGAGGCGGTTCGAGCATGTGACTTTTAGTTCTCTGATTTCCAGATGAGACATTTCATAATGGGAGAATCCAGAGAGAGTAGAAGCATCTGGATAGACGCAATGTTTGTCTATTGCCCAGTTACTTTATGGTCCAAGGAAGAGTTGCCGGGTGTCTGATGAGGGGGCCTGAGGGTTGGATCTGTCACTGCTGGACCTGCACAGTTAAGGGCCGACATCTCCCCTTTGCTCTACAGTGGCAGTATCCCACGGTCCTTCCTCTACTCTCCTTGTCTGCATTAGATCATCCAGGAAGAAAGCCACATGGCCTGTACTTACGGCTATTCCTCCCCAGATCAGATATCCTGAGTTCCCAAGTATATTTGCAGTATACATCCAATAATTGACTGCAGAGAAGATGTGCATCAGGCCAATGAGGATCTGGATGGTCTGTTGGAAAGGAAAGTCACAGTCAAGCTTTGTGGTCTGGCCACAGACCTGACTCCTTGTTGCTGTTGGGTCTTGCCTCAGACACAGTGGATCCAAATCTCAGGAGGGGGCATCTGAACTTGGGTAATTTTTTTTCTTTTTGAGTCACACCCGAAGATGCATCTGGCTCTGCACTTAGGAATTACTCCTGGCAGTGCTCAGGGGACCATATGGGATGCCAGGAATTGAACCTGAGTCAGCCATGTGCAAGGCAAACACCCTACCCACTGGACTATGGTTCTGGCCCTTGGAATTGGGTATTTTTAAAACTCCAGAGGTGATGCTTATGCATTTCTAGAGTTAAAGGAAAGGGGGGATTATTTAGAAAAGAGGAAGGCGCATCTCCCCCTGTGACTTCATCCTTGAGGAGGGAAGCATGGGGGACCTTGGTGGGAAACTCAGGCCAGAATCCTGGGGCACATGGGATCTCAGGCTGTGTGAGCATCTTTCCTTATAATGGAGATAATAGGGTCCTTTGGACTATTGCAGATTAGAGAAAGTGCAACCAGTTCTTGCTCCCAGCTAGCCACTCAGGCACTAGCCCTTGCATATCCTGCGTTCTCTTGCAGCCTCTTCTGCCAGATGTCCACCTCCCACCCTTTGCAATGCTGCTCTGGGCAAAGCTTTGCTCTGCTTCCTCCTCCTTCAGTACTTCTCTGCCCTTGAGGCCTTTCTTACATTTTTTTTCCGGACGATCCCCTCATCCAGTGCTGGAGCGATAGCACAGTGGGTAGGGCGTTTGCCTTGCATGCTGCTGACCCAGATTCGATTCCTCTGTCCCTCTCAGAGAGCCCAGCAAGCTACCGAGAGTATCCAGTCTGCACGGCAGAGCCTGGCAAGCTCCCCGTGGCATATTCAACATGCCAAAACAGTAACAACAAGTCTCACAATGCAGACATTACTGGTGCCTGCTCGAGCAAATCGATGAACAACGGGAGGACAGTGTTACAGTGTAAGTGTAATCCCCTCATCCAGCGGATTCCCTAGATTTCCCTCAAAGACCTTTCATTTCCCTTTTTCTTATTTCTTCTCTATTCAAGTGAGTCCCGCTAATTTGGGGGTTCAACAGGATTTTCTGTTTCTGAGGACATGGAGTACCTTTTGCATCCTTCTGTCTGAAGCTTCCACAGGACCAAAAAAACCACGTGGACTGAAAGCTTCCAGCTCTCTGATTCTATGAATCCATGGTTTGGATTTCACAGGAGTTCCCCTTCCTAATATACCTGCTCGATTTGATCTGTGTGATCACAAATCAGAATACAAAGTCCTACCTCCCATCACCTCCCATATTCAGAATGAAATTCTTATTCATTACAGATCAATTATTCACATTCCTTTTGCTTCTCACCATGTTTCACCGACCTCTTCCTCACCCCAAGCATTTGCTCAGTCTTCAGATAATTCTGTTTTGAGAAAATTTCAAATCCTTCCAAAATATAGTAAAGTAATTGGGGGCCAAACTTAACAAAAATTTGCTCAGCATTAGAGAATGAGTCATAGAACTTAAAACCATAGTTATCCAGCAATTTTGTATGCTGTTCTGTTGGAAGTTGTCTATACCAGCACTCTTCAACCTTTTTATACTTGTGGACTGGTTGTTGTCCTGCATACAGGTTCATGAACTGGGAGTTATAATTAGTGGCAGACCAGTGTCTTTTCAACTTGTTTTTTACACCCTTGGTCCTGCATTGGTCTGAGGACAAGTGGGTAAAGAACCCTGTTCTACAATCATGTGTCATCTCTCTTGGTGCTGGGGACCAGAATTTCAATTCCTAATACAATTTTATAAAATTCAGTCTATGGTTCAATTGTGATGACTTTGGGATGCCAAGCAAGGTCTATACCTGAAGTCCTTCACTTGTTCCTGAAGGATCAACAAGGCAGGGTAGGTTGGGATATTTGTGATCCCACCCCCTGGCTGAACCTGTCCTCAACCTCCTGCTCCCAGTGAGGGGATGACCATTTTTGGCAGTTGGACAGTCAACATTCTTTGGGAACGCTCACACTTTGGGTATTTACCTGGTGGCAATTGTTGGGAGGTATTATAACTTCAGTAGCCACCACTGCTGTACAAGACCCTCTTGGTCTTCCATCTTTGAGTCTCCAGTTTCTCACTCAAGGGCGTGCCTGCTCTATCATGGGGGCCACAGCAGACACAATGACACACCCAGACATCATGTGAGGTTATGGTTGGGTGTCCAAGAGGTGCAGGACATAGCTAGTTTCTTCTTCATAAATGAAATCAAGTTGAACTATTCTAGGTATCCAATGGGAACCCAAGCAAGGAGGAAAGAGGTAGGCACTCTTCTTGTCAAAATGGAAATCACAGAACATTCCAACTAGAGGGAATTTAAGATCATAGTTCAATAGACATTTTTGAAAGATGAGGCATGAAGACCCAGAGAGGGTTTTGAAGACACGCAGCATATCAACCTCTTCCTTTGCCAATTGATGACTATTTCAGTGAAACTTTTACTGACCTTTGCCCCTGAACGCCAGTTAGGGGAGAAGTTTTATCAAGTTTTACAACTCCATTCAAAGACCATGTATATGATTGGAAAGGGAAAGCCTGGCAAGGAAGGGGTGGGGCTGAGCTCTGTGGGGGTGTCCTGGCCCAGCCTCCAGAAAATGCCACCCCCATTTGTCCTTTGACCTCTAAGTTCATTCCCTTCCTCATTTGAGTGCACCAGGAGTGGGCTGATGCAGTGACCCTCCCCTGGAGAAAAAAAAGACTCACCCCTAGTGTTTTGGCTTCCTCAACAGTGAATTTCTTTAAATCAAATGTAGAAAAAGACTGGAATGACAGGTTCCACTGGAACTGTTTTGAGGTGTGCCCGGAAGGATTGGAAGGGTTTCCAGGTAGGGGCTGTGTGTTTCTAGGTCCTTGTGTGTGCTGAGCCATGCCTGGCCAAGTCTGCGGGCCGGGTGTCCCTGCCGGATGTTGGAATGGAGTGTGTTGCCCATGTGTGGCTCTCCCTCTTGCTGGCATCTGTCCTGGCAGAGGTGGGTTCTGTGGAAAGATGCTTCCTGCAAGATATTGGGCTTCTCTTGAGTTGGAGTAAGTGATCGCCTCCGGTGGCTGCCCCTGTCTTCCAGGAGTCGTGCGGTTCCCAGGATGGGACAGATAGATATTCTGAGGGTCCATCATGTCAGGCACAGGACTGGCTCCAATCCTCTGCTCCCTGATGGTGTTCAAGTGGCTGCAAAACACACAAGAAGGTTCACGTTTTCACCCTGAAGAAAGCAAGCCATGAATGTCACCCCACTCTTTTCTCTGGTTTCATCAATAAAATCTCTAGCATGAAGTGCAGAAGCAGACTCCAGTCTTCCTTGCAGTCCCGGTTGTTGGGACTAGCTCTTTGTATGGATTTGGAGTTTCTTGAGACTGCTTAGCCTTGAGCTATTCTTTTTTTCTTTCTTTTTGGGTCACACTTGGTGATGTGCAGGGGTTACTCCTGGCGCTGCACTAAGGAATTACTCCTGGCAGTGCTCAGGGGACCATATGGGATGCTGGGAATCGAACTCAGGTTGGCCACATGCAAGGCAAACGCCTTACCCGCTGTGCTACCACTCCAACCCCTGCCTTGTGCTTCCTGAGTGCACCAAGGCAACCTACCTCTCTATTCTCTCTCTTGCCCTGGGGACAGACAACTCTTCCCAACTGTGCTCATAGCTTCTCTTTCCAGGGACTTTAGAACTGAACCCAAGGATTTGGAAGGCGATGCGGAGCCAGAGGGCTTACATTTCTGTTGCATGAAGGGGAAGTAGAGAAAATCAGTTAGTAGTAAAAAAAAAAAAAAAGCTGAAATGAACATAGTGGGAGTGTTAAACCCGGGATTCTGAGTTCCCAAGCGGTGAGACAGACAGAAACACTAACTCGATAATGCAAAAGCAGTAGGAGTTTTATTCCAGTCTACTGGGGTCAACTATCTCACCCACAGAGTGGTCTCTTGATAGCCACCCCGACTTCAGGCAGCAAGCAGTTTTTATAGGGTTGATTACATAAGCAGTACATGCCTTATTGTTCCAGAAAAAAAAAAATCTTACTTAGTTACCAAACAAAGGTGTTTTGGCAAGTGTCTAGGGTAACAGTGGTTAGGCAACAATTAAACAATCATTCCCAGTATCAGTACCAATTTTGTGATTACATAGACATTACATTCTTTTAGGATTAACAAAAAGAAATTCTGGGGCATTGTGAGAATTAATTAATTGAGCCCACTTGCTGAGCCCAGGAACTTTCCCAGGTGGGTTCAAGTTGGCTAGTTACACTTTGTTTCATTGCTGGGAAACTGAAACTGTTTTAGATCCAGGAACTGAATCTGAGGCCTAGCTGATTTTGCTGATTTCTGCCACCTGTCATATGGCTGCATTCTGGCTTGTTCTGAGTCTCACAGGAGACAGAGAGGGATCACCTTGGATCCCAGTATCTTCTGATTCCATTTTGCAGGAAGCGGTTTGGATCTCGCCGGCAGTGCTCAGGGCTTATTCCTACCTCTGCACTCAAGGATCACTCCTAGCCTACTTGGTGCTGGTGACTGAATGGGGTTGACCACATGTAAGGCAAGTACCTTAACCCCTGTATGATCTCTCGACCTGTCTCTTGAGTCTTTTTTTTTTTTTTTTTTTGCTTTTTGGGTCACACCTGGCGATGCGCAAGGGTTCCTCCTGGCTCGTGCACTCAGGAATCACTCCTGGGGGTGCTCAGGGGACCATATGGGATGCTGGGAATCCAGCCCGCGTCGCCTGCTTGCAAGGCAAACGCCCTACCCGCTGTGCTATCGCTCTAGCCCCCTCTTGAGTCTTTTCATGTTCTTATTAGCCCCAGTTATACTTTCTGCCCTTTAAATATATAACCAATTTATGAATTCAGTTAAGCTAATTTGTATATAGATTAACATCATCTTGTGTCAGAGACAGGGTAAAGAGGGAAAAAAAAGACTATCCTTGCCTTCTGAGGAGGACTGTGGACCAAGGGGACAGATTACCCTCACAGGTCTTTTTCAGGGGTGTCGGATCGTGTCCAAGTAGAAGTGTGCAAGTTCCTATTTATCTGCTGTTAAACCTTTACCATCCAGGGCATAGGTGATTCTGCCAGTGGTGAAATCATTGATCTGAATCCTGAGCACTAAATGCATCTGAGAAAGCAATTGCTTGGTGTTAGGCCTGAATATGGTTCTGTTTTGTGTCTAAGAGAGACTGGAGGAATTTCTCGAATTTTCTCTGCTGAAGAGCAGGGAAGTGTGCAATGGAAGGAGGTGGGTGTGTAGCATCCTCAGAACAGCAAACACTTAAGTGGTGGAGCACAGGTCTCATTTAGATGAGGGGAAAGGACACATATATTTACTTGACAATTCACTTGAAAATCCCAACTTCGTGGGTTATCTCACCTGGCTGGCAGGAAATCAAGTCCTGTGCTTGCTGGGCTCCAAAATTAGGTCCTCAGGAAGCTTTCCTCCCCACTTTTAAAATCACAGTTAAATAAGGGGTACCAGGCTGGAGTGATAGCACAGCGGGTAGGGTGTTTGCCTTGCAAGCGGCTGACCCCGGGTTCGATTCCCAGCATCCCATATGGTCCCCTGAGCACTGCCAGGAGTAATTCCTGAGTGCATGAGCCAGGAGTAACCCCTGTGCATCGCCAGTTGTGACCCAAAAAGCAAAAAAAAAAGGGGGGAACTCCATCCCATGCTCCCGTTGCCCCAGTTGTTTCCAGCATGAGAAAAACATTACAAGCTGCCAGCTTAGCTTCCACGTATTACTGGATATCAATCAGTTGGAAAACAAGTGCAAAGATCAGGGCATATAAAGGCTGAGAGTGTGTGGAAGGAACATGTCCCAGTTTCTTCACAGCTGCCTCATCTCTGTAGACCTCAGTTTCCTTATCTCTGAACAGTAGGTGATGATAACACTCCCCCCCCCCCCCCCCCGCCCCCACCCCCCCAGGTCATGAAGATTACCATGAGAAAGCTTCAGGCTCAGAGCCTGGTACACAGGAAAAGCAACCAACACACTTGGATTATTTACTTATTTATTTGTTTATTTATATTTTGGGACCACACCCAGCTGTGCTCAGGGTTTACTCCTGGTGATCTTGGGGAACCACATGGGATGCTGTGAATTGAACAGGGGTTGGCCTCAAGCAAGAAAAGTGCCCTACCTGCTGTACTATCTTTCCAGTCCCTGCACATATGTATTTTTTCCCTTCTTTTTTGGACCATGCCTGGTGGGCCGAGGGTTACTCCTGGCTCTGTGCTCAGGGATTGCTCCCAGCAGGAAATCAGATAGTACAGAGAAAGGATGGAACCAGGCCTCCTGCATAGCTCAACACTCGGTCATTAAGCTATCTCTCTGGCTCCATTCATGCATATTTGTCCCAATAAGAGAAGGTCCCATTGTTCTGAACTGATGTCAAATCATGTTGTTTCCAGAATGGTTAGGAAGGTCCCTAGCATGTCATATGTGTTAGGTCAGGGTAGCATAAGATATCATGGACATGGCTAAGCAATGTTCATAGACTGCCCGGCAGAAGGGTCCGCGTTGGGCACCAGTCCTAATTTATGGTAGCAGAGAAACTTGACCCCACCCTGCATGGTCTCCCCTTAGTTTTATAACCCTGCACAATCTCCCCTTTTGTTACAGCCACCAGGTAGTAAGACAGAGCAGCCTTGGGAAATGGCACATCTGAAACCATAAAGAGGCGCATCAAAGGCAGGAAAACAGCACAGGTGTTCCACCTTTTACCTGCCCACCCCACCCCCTAATGCTTAAGGAAGTGTCCGTGCTCTTTTTTCCTTATTGATTTTTAATTATTGTTACTTGGCTTTGGGCCACACCTGGATGTGCTCAGGGCTTACTCCTGACTGTGTTCAGGGATCAGTCCTGGCAGGATTGGGGGACCCTATGGGGTGTTGGGGATCAAATTCGGGCTGACCACAATGTCCTACCCTCTGTACTATAGCTCTAGCCCCTCTTTTTCTTTCAATTAACCCTTTAACCACAACCATGCTTGCTTCTGCTATCAATTTTTTTCCTCCTTCACACCCTGCTGTGCTTGGAATTGCTCTTGAATTTGTATTCAGAGATCACTCCTGGTGGTGCTCAGGGGACCATGGGGGATGCTGGGCCTTGAGCCCTGGTCAGTGGCATGTGAGGCAAGCATGTTACCTGTATACTATTTCTCTGGCCTCAATCCTATCTACACCTTTTTTTTTTTTTCTGGGTCATACCTGGCGATGCTCTGGTGTTACTCCTGGCTTTGCACTCAGGAATTACTCCTGATGGTGCTCGGGGGACCATATGAGATGCTGGGAATTGAACCTGGGTCGGCCATGTGCAAGGCAAGTACCCTACCTGTTAGGACAGGACAGCCTCGGACTGGGCCAAGGACAATGAAGGTAGTAAGGTTCCCACTCAGGCCTGAGTGCAAAGCCAGGAGTGACCCCTGAGCATTGCCGGGTGTGACCCAAATAAAAAAAAGTCCCATTTCTCTCTTTTTTATAAACAGGGCCTACCCGTGGCAGAGATCACCAGTCCATGCCTATCAGTGCTTAGGGGGCCATGCGAGGGTGGGGATTGCACTCAGGGCCTCAAGTATGCTAGGGGTAGGCTCTGTCACTCGAACTATCTATCTCCTCGGCCCGATCAGAAATCCCAGGAGTGGGGCAGCTGTCTTTTTCCAACGATCTGCAGGTGATCTAATGTCCCCCTGAAAAACCCTGCACTTCTCCTTGGTAGTTTTACTGCCTTCGGGTCCTAACAATTTTTAAAAATTGTTGAGCTAGACATGTCAAATAAGATTTTTCACTTCATTTTAAGCTAGTTGGAGTCTGTGTCTCCTTCCAACTAAGCTTTCATGGACACTCCTCAAAACCATTAGAAATGGAGTATCCACATTGTCCAGCCATTCCACTTTGGGACATCTACCCCCAAGACCCCCAAAATCTAATGAGAAAACATATTTGCACTCTCATGTTCATTGCAGCGCTATTCATAATAGCCCAAATCTGGAAATGACCCAAGTATCAAGAACAGATGACTGGATAAAGAAACGATGTCCTGGGGCTGGAGTGATAGCACAGTGGGTAGGAAGTTTGCCTTGCATGTGGCTGACCGGGTTCAATTTCCAGCATCCCATATGGTCCCCGGAGTAATCCCTGAGTGTAATGAACCAGGAGTAATCCCTGTACATTGTGGGTATGAC